TGTGTTTCGCCGTGTGAGTGAGGTTACCGGAGGCCCAATCCCTTCCCTTCCCCTATCTCTTTCCGATCCTTATATCCGCAACCCCAAAAGGCCGGCAACCGGCACTCGTAACTCCTTTGGTGTTGCGGGTGTTCATGGGCGGCGCCGATTGCTTACCATCAGGTAATCCGTCTGTTCGTTTGCCGATTTATACCATAAAAAAACTGCATTATGTATTATGTTTTCTCATAATACAATTGGGGCTAAAAATATCTGCAGAGATACTTACAACATTTTAGGGTTGCGGGTTAAGCACAATAAGTTACCGCAGGCCCAGCCTGGAGCAGAAGACTGACTAAAAACCCCCTTGTTCCTTCTCCTGCTCTGTGCCGAGGTCGCGGTACCTCACTGCGCTTAACCTGCAACCCCGGCTGAACATCAGCCCTTTAGGGCCCCGTCTGTGGTGGTCTATTGGTCTGTAGAAGAGTCTGACGAGAGAAGACATTTAATGATTTTCGACCCTCAAAAAAACAACTCAAAATTTATTGGAAACTAATATTATAAAGAGGTAAAATTTGTAAGTTTGTAAGTTTGTATGTAGGGAGTAATCTTTGGAACCGCTGGTCGGATTGTCAAAATTCTTTCACTGTTAGATAGCTAAATGTTCCTGAGTGCTATAGGCTATAAAACATCACGCTACAATCTAATAGAGCCGAACAGCGGGTGAAACCGCGCGAGAGTAGCTAGTTTGAAATAACGACTTGAATTAACTGAGAATTTGATGATTAAAAACTCTGTTGTGACTTGAAACTAGGACAGCTTTTCTTGAACTTGGAGAGGCTTCGGAGATTTAGGGATTGTGGGAGGGGACAAAGAATTGACTTACAAGACGGAACACGACGCTGTGGTTGTTTCACGTCGGAATTGTGAGATCGTGGTTTCAATCTGGTGCCGAAGTATGACGCTAAACACTAACTTGGTTCAAAATTATGACATCATTTATGGACAAAATCAGCTGACATGTAACTTTTATTTTTTCCTCTGTCATTAACTTAAGATACATCTAAATGATAAAAGAAATGATTTCGTATCCAAAGGTCAATAACCAAGACGATTGACAGTTTCAAATTATAATATAAATGTTGTATCATTATTTACCTAACTATGTAAATTAATTTGAAAGCGAAAGTTCTCCGACCGCTGCAGTTTGAATTTATAATAAAGCATGCGTGCAGACCCGTGGTTATAGGAGCTTGAGAGAACCATTCTTAGACGGGACGCCTCGACCGGAGTGATACCACGAAGACGTAGAAAACCGGCGTGGAACAACGCTTGCTTTGTGTATCGCCCTGTGAGCGAGGTTACCTTGCCCCTCTTCACATCTCACTGCGTGGAACAACGCTTGCTTTGTGTATCGCCCTGTGAGCGAGCTCTTCCCACCTCAAATCCTCATGATTTTCTGTCATATCGGCAAATGAACATACTGATTATCTGATGTTAAGCAATCAGCGCCGCCCATGGACACTCGTAATACCAAAGGAGTCACTACAAATGCGTTGCTTTCCTCTTTTGGTTTGTTCGGAATATAAGGATAGGAGATTGGAGGACTGAGAATGGAGGGCGAGGGAAGGGGAGGGGGAATGTTAAAATCAATTTAATCTCTTGTCAAGTCATCTAATTCGTTGACTGAATTATCAACAACCAATCAGATGACTTGACAAGAAAGAGAATTAACAGGAGAGAAAATTTTAGCGTTGACAAGCCTTTCAGAAGCCGGGTGTGAGTCTCATCCAACATTACATAGGAATGCAAAGATCCCCCCAGAAAACCTCATCCTGTCCATCATATTCCTCAAGGATTAACGATTACCATCAATTGCCATGCGTTTATGCAATTTGTGGTCATTGGTCGTCCCAGGATATGTTGTGGTGCGGGGAATTAGGTATGCGACCACATAGTTAGTCTTAAAAAGAAAGGATCCAGATAAAATTACTTATCTTTTTATATAGATACATTTTTAGACTAGCTACCCACACTTGTTTTGCACGTTTTCTCAAATACCTCACTATAAATACGAAAGGATTGTTTTTTCCCAATTCCTAAATTAAAATTTTCTTTCGTGAAAACCTTTCGGTACATATAAAAACAAAACAAAAAAAAAATTGGCAAAATTTTTCCTGCCACTGTTGAGTAATATGCGCTTACCAACACATTTTCCGATTTATTTTTTATTATAGATGAATATTCTTCAGAAAAAGGCCTATCCTTATGTGTACCTGTAGATTAACTGTAAAGTACCGAATTATTTAATATTTGAATAGATAACAATAGCTACCTTACTCTTAATACCTGTTGATCCCTCGTTTTTTTCACAAAGCACTGAAATACTTTATTTACAATGAAAGTAATCATGATAATTCTGTTTGTTTCAGGTGTTCGCGATAGTAGTTAGTGAGGGTGTGTCTAAAAAATGCTAATAAATCTTGGGCCCAAGGCCCACCGGATTGTCAGAAAGTGAGTAACTTATACCTAATACTATTTAATTACAGTTATATAATACTATGTGAGTGAGGTTAGTTCGAAAACGACGGTAAAAAAAATGATTTGTAAGGCGTTGTCCACGAACGCTTTTGGCTATCGATTCTTGTAAGACGAAAGTTTGCATTTAGCATAGAAATAAACGAAATTATGTAGCTACACGGAGCGGCAACATCGATCACAATTTTTATAAAATTCGCCTATCGCCATTTTGCTCATGACTACACAGATCATGCATTGGTTGGGCAAACAGCTGCTCATGTGCTTTGCAGGCCTATTAGAGATTGGGGTTTTGGAGATTTAGTTAGGAGTTTCCTGTGAGGTTATGGTATAACTCCGGTTGAGTCTGACCCTTCGTGCTGAAGCATGGCTCTTTCACACATATAGTTAAGTGAGTAAAAAATCCAATACTCTTTAGTGTTTTTTTCTAAAAACCTAGACGCCTAAAGTCGGTTTCCCTGCGTCAACAAAATATTTAGAAAAAAGGATAACGACTTAGGCCATGGGCAGCCTAGGCAGTACTTTCTCTTCCTATATCTAGTTTTAAAAATGACCACGTCGTTAGCAAAAACGGACATAGATATACAATGTCTCAAATGTCGTCGACCTTGAAAAGAAATCGAAAAAAACACGTAATATAATTAAATTAATGAATTGATACGTTTATTGAACGTTTCCTTGCATTTATTATCTTAGTACATTATTTATATAAGATCCTCAGTACGAAATAAATGAAGTTTAAATATTTTGAAAGTTTTTTTAATCCAAATTAATATTATAAATGCGAAGGTAACTCTGGCTGTCTGTCTGTCTTTTCTTCACGCCTAAACTACTGAACAGATTTCTGTGAAATTTGGTATAGACATAGGATAGTTTTTATACCAAAAATCTGCAGGAAATCACTATTCCACACGAACGAAGTCGCGGGCAAAAGCTAGTTTATAAATAAATATTGTCTAATTAAGTAATAAAATTTTTGTTTATCATTTCCTTAGATTTTGCTTACAGCGGATACATAATTCAGGATATTAGTGTCGTAATCTGCAATTTAAAACCTAGAGCAATTAATTCACTTTCGTAATGTTTACTTTTTTATTAAATTGATGAATTGTAAATGATACGTGGTGGTCCGGAGGTTAAGCCGTCCTTCCATGCATGAGGGTGCGACTTCGAAGCCTGACAATTAGGTACCATTGTCGCTTTTCCGAGATATATGTACTTTCTATGATTATTTAGACACCCAAGACATACGGTGAATGAAAACATCGTGAGGATCTTTACTTATAATGTCAAGCATGGTGATTAATGCTCAAACCTTCTCCGTGTGACATGAGGCCTTTGCTCAGCAGTGGGCACTAATAGGCCGTTAATGATGATGGACCGCATCGCATAAGTTAAAGTTACACATTACTATTTAATTTCATCTACTTATAGATTCACTAGCTTTTGCCCGCAACTTTGTTCGCGTGGAATAGAGACTTCTTACAGGTCGTGGTGGCCCGAAGGTTAAGCAGCCCGCTTACCATGCATGAGGGTGTAGGTTCGAAACCTGGCAAGTACCAATGTGACTTTTTCCGAGTTATATGTACTTTCTATGAGTATTTAGACACCACTGACATACGGTGAAGGAAAACATCGTGAGGAAACCTGGACTTATAATTTCTTATTATAAGTTTGAAATCACCAACCCGCATTGAGCAAGCGTGATGGGATTCATGCTCTAACCTTCTCCGTATGAGAAGAGGCCATTGCTCAGCAGTGGGCACTTATAGGTTAATGATGATAATGAAAAAAATGATGATGAGTGACTTCCTGCAGATTATTGGTTAAAAAACTAACCTATGTCCTTTCTGGAGTTCCAAACTATGTCTGTACCAAATTTCACACAAATAGTTTTAGTAGTTTAGGCGTGAAGAAAAGACAGACAGACAGAGTTACTTTTGCATTTATAATATTTGTTTAGATTCGGATTTATAACAGAAGCACTACCGTATAACATAGTGCAGCTAGATAGATAACAGTGGGTTTTCACTAATAAATAAAGTGTATACTTACACTACTTATCTACTGAAATAGCAACATAAAATGTTTATTTTATTGGATTAACTCCAACACTTTCGTTGTCAGTTAATATTTTTATATTTAGTATATTATCTTATACATATTCAGTTAATATTTTTGTCAGTGGCCTAAGATTCAGATAAATGTTATCTGAGGAATAAAATTGTTGCTTACACAAACATTTTGTCGCGACAGCATCGTAATTATTTCCCAGGTAACTTTTATTTAATCATTAAAAATCAGCTGTTAATTCAATATAATAATATTTATTTGCGAACATAGGTATATAACATATGTTACAGTCAAAGCAGTACCATTTAATGGTAGAAATGAAGAAAATAATTTTATTAAAAAACACAAAAAAATCAATCATCGGAAAAGAGTCAACATTATTGTCAAGAACAAATTAAGTAGGTACTAAGAAAACATTATGAATAATGTCAATTTTAAAACTACCTATACACATTGTCGTTAAAGTGCAGTCTAGTTCAGTTCAGTTCTCTTATGCGTCTAGCTATTATAAATATAAAACCCTTTTAAGCTAGTGTGAAATAGCCGATGTACCCAAACACGGGTTAAACAGTGCAAAACCAATAACTGGTTTCCTACTTAAACGTTACTAAAACAGCTATAACAGATACGCAAAAAGTTATTATCGACACAATCGATACATCGATACATCGATCAATCATTCAATCGCATCATCGATTAACTTTGCTTATATGAATGGAAGTGCGATTCGGAATATTACTGGTTGATAAGCGATTTTAAACCTTACGTGCAATATTATTAGTGTTTTATGTTTTATTTATTTATTACCAACATACAACTATTATCACAGGAGTTTTCTATTACACTAGTGCATTTTATCTTGTTTTTGTTGTTAATTAGATATGGATCGGAAATGTTCATGAGACATAGTTTTCATAAAGTCGTTTGAAAAAGGACTAAAACAAAAAAAAATTGGTCCTTTTTTATCTTATTTATAAAATAAAAAAATATTGGACTTATAAAACAAATCATGTTTTGATTTGTTTTATCCTATTTATTTTATGCTTAGATACATTAAAACACCACTACGAATTATATTAAAGCATGAATCTGAAGAAGGACTGTGTGGTTTTCAGTTACCGTAAAACGAAATGTATAGAATTTGGGGGTTGAATAGACACAGAAAAGGGGTGAATGAATTTTCCTAGTATTCCCTCCTCGAATTCCATTCACCTACTACTTACTACGGTAAGTTTCTGAAAAGAATCCTTTCGATGATTCTTTCCTTTTCCCCCGAAAAAACGTTTGAATTAGTTGAAATAAGAAATGATTGCACAAATGTTAAAAAGCGCTTAAGTACCTACATTTCCATAATAATTAAATATTAACGAGTTTACGCAACAACTTCGTAACAGACTTCAGCATAGTATGCTTTATGACGTTGCACATAATGGTCTATAGTTTTTGTATGGAAATGCACTGAACTGCACTCGGATTATATAGCCATCGATTATCGCAGTTTGTTGATGTAATGGAGCCAGGAGCTTGGGGTTAAGTAATACACAGTACTATAATAGTACATGTTTATCACATCATCACCGTACACAAACGATCTCCGTAAGAATGGCGAACTAGGGTAACTTGGTGCATGATTTTCATCACCTAAAATGAGGATAAGACTAGCCCTTTATACAAACGGTAAACAATAGCCAGCTACACAGGCAAAACCTAAGGAGTTACACTAAAACAAGTGTTTTTGTAATGATTGATTGATTTGGGAACGGGAGTCGGAAAAGGATGTAAGACTGGACAACGCCTGGCTCTCCCATGCTTAATCACTTTTGATGAAAATGATACCTTATTTACCCTTTTAAATTAATTGGTATTGTTCTTAGAGTTTTACTTATGTTTTTATTTATCTATTTAAGTAGAACATTGAAGAGATTACTGGAGGCTCAATACTCTCCTTGAATCCCTAAAAGTCAAAAATCATTTATTTACTTTTGAACGTCAAACTCATCAATATACAGTTAAAAGTGTCAGTCTGTCCGTCAGTCCTCTTAGTAAGAAGTTAGAGTCTCTTAGAAGCTATTTGCTCGTTCCAAATTGTAGATTCCGATGGATAAGAATGAGGAAGAAACTCCATGGTTACTTTTTTCAATCAGTTTGACATACAGATTCCTTATACAAACAGTTGGTTCAATCATGTGAGAATCCCAAGAAGGTCGGCAACGCACTCGTAACTCCTCTGTAGTTGGCGGTGGTGATGGACCGTATTCGTCAGCTCGTTTACTGTCCAATTACATGAAAAAATGGAATACTTAATATGGAATGTTTTTCCTTCGTTTCAGATGGTGACTTGCGACAACGGTAGCGCGCCTCTAGGCGGGTTCCGCCTAGGCGCGCGTGAGGACGAGCCTCGGCGTGCGCGTGCGCCCTCCATCTCCTCCCTCTCCTACAAACACAAGATAGACGCGCTCTTTGACGACACAAGGTCCCTCACTAGCCATCATTACACGCCGGTGCATCATTCAGAAAGAGACCCTAAGGTAAGCTGTGTAAATGTCATTTTACATTACCTCTGGCCCAGATAAAATTTGGTGGCCGCTCACGTAATGAGATTAGGATTTGGCGGGAGTGCGATACGCCATTTGATTATTATCCACACACAAAAAAATGATTGATTGGTATTGACACTGATTTTCAGTCGACTAATTCTAAATAATGAAAATTTAAGATCCATAAAGTTCGTAGTGTTACTGCTATTATTTTAATAGAGTGAATTCCCCATTAAACCTCTCAATTTATTAGGTATTATTAACGATACGATTCCCGTTGTTTATGACATGATGGTCACCGTACTAAACATAGTTAAGCCTTGAACCCCAAATCCAGCAAAAACTTTCATTTTCATTTAATTGTTTAAACAAAACCGCTTACTTTTGCTTTCTATTGCAAAAAAAAACTAGAAAAATATTTAGGCATCAACCTAAACCTCTGACCTCTTGAATGAGAAACAGGATCCAACTTGTAATAGTGTGACAGAAAACTCTTTGACATCATGACGTCAATGGATGGTTGTCAAACGTTGCCTAGAGATTGTAAATTTCGTCGTGAATTGTTAACACGAGTTGGTGAATCGGTAAGGCGTGTGGATTACACCACAGAGACCCCGAGTTCGAGTCCCGCCGTAAACATGAAGTTTTCTAGTTGATGGAAGTTTTGTCGAACTTTCTGGAATATTTGAGTGAAAGTAATGAAAAATTAAGGAGCGAGAAGGAGAATAAATAAAAATGAATAACGAAATTATTGGAAGGTTCTGGAGGCATGACGATCAAAAAAGAATAACGGAATTGAATGTTCTAGAACCTGACCGGGGGTATATAAGCGGAACTGCGGCTCACCGCTGGCAGTTGTGTTCTAAGTCTAAAGCGATTCGGAAGAAAAGGAAGAAGTGAAAAAGAAGAAAAGTGAGTGAAATAGTGAAGTGCAGTGAAATAGTGAAGTGCAGTCAGTTAAGTGAGTTAAGCCAGCGTGAACGGCAAAGTTGTGTCAGTCGGCCGGGCTCTGCTGGAGAGGAACGCCGATAACTTAACTCCGTGGACGCTGTAACTTAAGTGCAATAGAAAGTCTGAAAACCGGTATTAGTGTTTCATTTCATCCAATCCCGTAACCCAAGCCCGCATAGTCAGGAACGTGACGTCAGGCACGTAACATTTGGTGTCAGAAGTGGGATTGGAGAAAAATGCCGCTAGTACCGCAGGACGTAAGAGGAGTGAGTACCCGTGCTATGTCAGAAGCGCAGCGTGTGAGGGAAGAGGGTGCTGCAGCTCAAACCAGCGATGCAGAAGCCAAGCCTGTGCAGGTGGATCTTCTGCTACAGCTGCAGCAAATGATGGCAGAGCAAGCGCGCCGCCAAGAAGAGCAAGCGCGCTGTCAGGCAGAACAGCTGCGGGAGCTGAAAGAAGAGCAAGCGCGCCGCCAAGAAGAGCAAGCGCGCCGCCAAGAAGAGCAAGCACGCTGTCAGGCAGAACAGCTTCGGGAGCTGAAAGAAGATCAAGCTCGTCGCCAAGAGGATCAAGCTCGCCGCCAAGAGGAGCAAGCGCGTCGCTTGGAAGAGATGCACAGGGATTTCACGAAGGGACTGCAAAAGGCTGTCGAACGGGTACAAGAAGTGGAGGAAGGGTTAGGCAAGTTGGAACATCGCGTCATGGCGATAGAGGAGAGATTGGAAGAAGAGATCTCCAAAATCAAGCAGGAAGTGACAAACCCAAGCCCTTTAAAGAGCCGAAGCCGTCTTGCAGCCGTTTTTGACGCCCCAAATGCGGCCTTAAGCGCAACGAAAGGGCTCAAGATTCCCCATTACGACGGAACAACATCCTGGACCGCGTTCAAGCTACAGTTTGAGACACTTATGGAGGCTTATGGTTGGACTCAGAAGGAAGCACAGTCAGCCCTCACCCTGGCCCTCCGTGATCAAGCGCTCTCAGTGCTGGAAGCTATCGGCGCAAGTGGAGATCTCAGCTTTAGTGCCCTCCTCGACGCACTTGAGGCACGTTTTGGAGACAGCCACCTCGAGCACGTGTACAGAGCGCAATTAAAAGAGCGTACTCAGCGTGATAATGAGAGTCTACAGCAATGGTCCGTGGAAATCGAGAAACTTGTGCGTCGAGCTTTCCGGTCGACTCCGTCAATGATTGAAGGCACGCTTCTCCAAGCGTTCATTGACGGTATTCGGGACCCCGAAGTACGAGCTGCTGTTCATCTGGGCCATAACAAGAACATGAAAGAAGCTCTGGCCCATGCATTGGAAGTGGAAGCCGTGCGTGGCAACTCCCGTACCTTACGTCTGCGGGAAATGACGACAACGGAGCAGGTACCTCCACGCCGTCGGAACTTCATGTGCTATGGATGTGGAGAGCGTGGGCACATACGGAGCGACTCCCGAAGAAGATGAACCGCAAGGACGCGGCGGTCTCAACTTCTGACCAGCAGGGAAACTTAAATCCAGCCAAGGCTGCGGGGTGGGCGCTGGCTGGTAGTGGAATAACCCCAACAATCTACATCAAGCAAACTAACGATGGAAATACCCTGGTGATAGACGGTCAAGTAAATGGGAAAAACAGTCAGCTAACATTAGATACTGGAGCTTCAAGGACGGTGATAAATGTTCGGCTGCTCGAGCAAAACATCAGGAAACACCTTAAACCAATTGTTGGCCTACAAATGAAATCAGCTACCGGCCAGTGCATACCGATAAGTGGAAAACTGCATGTAACAATCAAAATTGGGGAACGTGTTTATCGACATGAGGTTATTGTGGCCAGAATTCTGGATGACTGCATCCTGGGACTTGACTTCCTGCAAGGGCACCAGTGTAACATCGACTTAAAATCTGGAGTATTACTATGTGGAACTGAGGAAATTCCGATGAAGGGTGGAACCCTGGGAAAAGTTTGCTGTTTAAGAAGAACTGTTCTTGCACCAAAATCACAGACTCTCGTACCAATCGCATTACCTAGGAGGAGGGAAGGAAGTTTACCTCGAAGGTGCGCTGTGATTGATAAATCGGAACACGTGAATTCATGGCTACCGGCAAGAACTGTCGTGGGGTCATCTGATGTTAACCGCATTCCGGTATTCAACTTCAGTGATTCAGAAATTACGATTGAAGAAGGAGAGCCTGTGGG